CCAGTTATATATATACCCAAGATAAATGAAAGCATGTCTACACAAAAACTTGTATGTGAATGTTCATAGTAGCATTATTCATAGCAAACAAAAAGTGGAAACAACCCAAATGGACAATCAGCTGATAAATGGCTGAATAAAATATGTGGTATAGCTATATAATGAATATTATTGACAATGAAAAGAAATGAAATATTGATACATGATACAACATGGATGAGTTTTGAACACATTATGCTAGGTGAAAGAAGCCAGTCACAAAAACTACTTACTGTAGGATTCCATGTATGTGAAATGTCCAGAATAGGCAAATCTGTAGAGATAGAAAGTAGATTAGTGGGGCTGACTCTCATAGGGCTGGGAGAGTTGCAGGCGGAAATGGAAGTGACAACTAATGAGTATGGGTTTTTTGGTGGGGTGGGGTAGGACTGATGAAAATGTTCCAATGTTTATTGTGGTAGTGGTGGTTCAACTTTGAATATACTAAAAACAATTGAATTACACTTTAAATGGGTGAACTTGGTGGGGTATATTAATAATGTTCCAATAAAGGTATTATAAAAAACTTATTCATTGTTTAGAGTATCCTGTGCACAGCTGGGTACTAGAATCCCTACCCTAGAAGTACCTACAGTCTAGGGGTCAGACAAGCAAACAAAGACAATATAGCCTTAAGATGCTGAAATTAAATGTATATATCTATTATATTCTGGTGCCTTTCTGTACAATAATGAGAATCTATGGGAATTAATTAAGTAGGAATAAAATGAGGATTGGCTTGGGTTTGACATCACTCCTGCTCTAGAGTGACATTAAGATTATTTAGATGTCATGGGGCGCTTGGCTGGCTCAGTTGGTAGAGTGTGCAAATCTTAATTTCAGAGTTGAGTTTGAGCCCCACGTTGGGTGTAGAGATTACTTAAAAATAAAATCTTTTTATTTTTTTAAGAGAATTTATTCATTTATTTGAGAGAGACAGAGAGAGCATGCGCGTGAGTGTGGGGGAGGGGCATATGGAGAGGGAGAAGCAGACTCCCGGCTGAGCAAGGAGTCTGATCTGGGGCTCGATCCAGGACCCTGGGATCATGACCTGAGCCATAGGCAGATGCTTAACTGACTGAGCCACCCAGGTGCCCCAAAATAAAATCTTTAAAAAAAAGATTATTTGGATGTCTTTTATACTGGGAGTTCTTAAACGTCTATAGAAGGGTTTACCTAGGGACTTCAAGTTGTTTCTGTTATATTTCTGGACCTCTCTTCTAATCTTACTGTGCATGAAGTTGAATAACTATTTTTGTGAACGTGGAGTCATGATCAGACCTAGTGGTGCATAGCGTCGGAATGTCTTGTTTTTTTGTTTGCTTACCAACTAGATATAACCTAGCCTAATTTACCATAAAGATTGCTGTAGTTCTGGTATCTGGATTTTCCTCAGGACTCTTACCTAAATGACAGTTTATTAGGTGAGACCTGATATATTCTGGGTTTGGCAAGCTGATTCTCTCTTTCCCTTTCTCCACAGCAATGATTTTGAATTATTAGAATTCTCTTCCAAGTATAACCTACTCTGCTCCCTTCATTTTTACAGATTATTTTGCTTAATTCTTCACGTCTGAAAAATGGGGAAAATAATAATACTTAAACTGTGATGATTAAATGCATGTAAAGCACTTAATATAATGCCTGGCACAATATACTTGCATGCTATTCGTGTTTTACTCGCTATCATTATTTATATTAATTTGTTTATTCACAGATATTGACTGGGCATTTCACTATCTGACAGGTACCATGCTAGTTAGCAGAGCAAGATAGGCATGGTCCCTGTACTCATGGAGTGAATCCTCAGTTTGTACTAGTTATTTTAGCACTCTACGTGGTGGTGAAGAATTACTGTTCCAGTTAAATTTCTCCATGCTTCTAAAAGTTTGTACATATTATTGAACTAACTTTATTAAGGATTTTCATTAATTACAGGTATCTAAAATATAAGAGCAGTAGCACACTATGCTATAAAGTGTGAGATAAGAACTCATTAAGCTCTAACCTAAAGCAATGAAGATGTGTTGGTGAATCCTAAACAATTTACTGCTGACTTTGTATTTTGTTTACCAGTCAAGGATCTACAATTGATTTTTCTTTTTAAAAGTAGGATGTTTTCACTATTGAGAGATAAATAGTATTTTGGTATAGCGTACCATAAAGATATTTTTGAAAGAGCATTCCAAGAAGAGTTACATATAGTATGGCCTTTTGTTTTTAGATGGTTGAAATGTCTTTGTAATAGAGATCCTTAATTTAAATGTTATATGCTAGGATGGTGGAATTTTTTTTTTAAAGATTTTATTTATTTATTTGAGACAGAGAGAATGAGATAGAGAGAGAGAGAATGAGAGGGTCAGAGGGAGAAGCAGACTCCTGCTCAGCAGGGAGCCCGATGTGGGACTCGATCCCGGGACTCCAGGATCATGACCTGAGCCGAAGGCAGTCGCTTAACCAACTGAGCCACCCAGGCGCCCCTGGAAGGTGGAATCTTGAATGGATAGTAAGAAAATACTTCCTAAATGATTTTTAAATTGTTCCTTTGAAGCTGAGGGAAAGAGTAAGTTGCTAATTGGCCATCATTTCATCCTTTCATTCTTACTGCAATTTACTAGGTGACAGAGTTTTGCAAACATTTGTAAAATACATGTAAAGTGATGCACATGCATTGTACACATTGGGAATTATTGCTCCCACTTATTTCTTGCTAGTTCCAACCCTTTCCAACAAAAGCACAGAGAATGAGAGAATAATGTAAAAGAAGTAGAATTATTAACTAAAATAAGTCTGGATTGTATTTATATTTTAGGTCAATCAGTAGAAAGGTTTTTTTTTTTTTAATTCAAGTTGAGATATATTTCTCATTCATTCACCAAATCTTGCCCTTCTAGCTCTTGGCGTGTGACTTGCTCACTTTACAGACAAACTTCTTCAAAGATTGCCCTCACTGCCTCATACTTGATTTACACTTTAATCCGTTAAAGACTGGCTGCCGCCCTTTCCACTCACTAGTGACTTCCTAATTTTTATATTAACCGGCACTTCTCAGCCTTTCTGTAGCATTTGCCATTGGCTACTTTTGCCTTAAAATGCTTCTTCTTCTTGTATTTCTATAATACCCCTTTCTCATATTTTCCTCAGACCTCTTTGGCTATTACTTGATTTCCTTCATGTGTTCTTTTATTTTTGCCCATGCTCTAAATCTAAATGTTGTATTTTCTAAAATTCTGTTCTTAGGTTAATTTTCTTTTCATTCTTTATATTCTTCCAGCCTGGCAGTTGTCCATCTGTGTGTGTAGTTCTGTCTGCCTTCCATGAACTAATGGTTCCCCAATGTATTTCTACAGCTCAGCTTTTTGCTCAGCAGCAGGCTTGAAATTACAATTGTCTGCTGAATTCAACAGGTTGTCCTTAAACTCAACATTCTAATATCCCTTACAGCCTATACAACCTACTGTATATTCTCTTATTTTGGTACAACTTACCATTTAATTGTACCAGTTTCTAGTCAAAAGCTGTCTTTAGTATCTCTCATATTTATCGAATTTTTTCCATCTCTCCTATACTATTTATAATTTAAACCATATTCTCTCTCTTGGGATATTGTAACTGTTCCTAGAGTGACCTTTCTGCCTTTAGAATTGACCTCTGTATAGTCTATCTTCATTGCCACCATAGCAGTGTTCTAAAGTACAATGTTTTAAGTGTGTTTTTCCTCATCTTAAAGTCTTTTAGATGCTTCTCATTACCCAGCAATAGATCCAATAGATCATATGTCCATCCATGGCCCATCTACTTTTGGATCATTTAGAGAACTTTTGAAAATCTCCAACCTGTATTTTCCCCCATCGATTCTGAATCAGTAAAGAGTTTAGGAATTTAGAAAGCTTCCCAAGATGATTTTGATAAGTAGCCAGGGCTGAGAAAAACTGACCTCTCCATGTGGTTCACTTTCCTTGTTACAGAGTCTAAGACCTTTCAGGGCCTTGTGCCTCTTGCTTCTCCAGCATCTTCTCATGCTCTTCTCCCTTCATACGCTGTGCTCCAGCCAAAATGCCCTCTTCTCACCCTGGAGCCACCAGTCTTGATCCTTTTCTAGGACCTTTATTTGCTTTTGTTGAACCAGGGCGGACCCTAGATTGCTACCTGCTCCACTTCTGCTCTCCTCTGCGCCCTAGCCCGCACCTCCTTGGATTTCATAGGTAAAACTCAGGTTGAAAACCACTGAACTGATCCAAATCAGTGAGGCCCAGAAAGATTAAGTGATTAAAGGACTGAAGTCATGTATCTGTGAATGGCAGACCATATCTAAAATTCAGGATTTATAATATAAATTTATTTATATTATAAATATAATATTTATATCCCCTAGGATTTATATTCCTAACAGAGTTCTTATTTATTGCTCCTCTGTTTTCGTATGTATGATGTCTGGGGGGGCAAAGTTGATCTGAAAGGACCTTTTAATTCTTTACTCCCTAAATAAATTATCATTGTTTATTCCCTCATTCATTTATTTATTCATTCAATAAACATGTATTTGACTACACACGGAGCAGTGTAGGGTCCAGGAGGAGGTGGGTAGAAAATTTGAATAATACAGATTTCCTATTTTTAAGGTTCTTAAGACAGGCCCTTTGTATTCAATTATAAAATACTGTACAGAAAAACAAATTATTAATTTTTTAGAAGAGAAACCATAGGGCGCCTGGGTGGCTCAGTTGGTTAAGCGACTGCCTTCGGCTCAGGTCATGATCCTGGAGTCCCGGGATCGAGTCCCACATAGGACTCCCTGCTCAGCAGGGGGTCTGCTTCTCCCTCTGACCCTCTTCCCTCTCATGCTCTCTATCTCTCATTCTCTCTCTCTCTCTCAAATAAATAAATAAAATCTTTAAAAAAAAAAGAAGAGAAACCATAATATAACCTTTTCCACTGTTTTCTGTCTGTCTTTTGTCCAGGGAAAGACCATGTTTGTAGATTTATTGGCTGTGGGAGGAATGATCGATTCAACTATGTGGTCATGCAGTTGCAGGTAGGTTACTTGGAAATGTATCTTAAAATATTTCAGTTTTGATCAAAGTACCTAATTGCAGTGGATATGAATAAAAACAGAATTCTTGGTATCATCTCAGAATGTTTTATATTATGCAGATGGAATTTTATTTAAACAGATTTGACATAGATTTTTCCAAAGATGGAAGGGTTGTTCTTGTCAGCTGTTTTAGTTGATCCATATCTTCATTGAGTGTCACCATTGCAAAGTTTAAATCCCCATGTGGATTGCTGGATATGAATCTTGCCCTGTCCCTTCCTCTCTGTTCCCTTAAGGACTCTAGTTTTTTGGGGGTTTTTTGATGGAAATAATGTAAATTTATTGAAACTGGTTTTGGGGAGGATGGCTGGGTGGATAGTTGGGGATCTAGTTTTTAATCTTTGTGCTCAAGAACCAACTTTGACTACTTGAAAATTTAAGAATTAGTTGATATATAGGAGAAATGTATTCCTTTTTCTTTTTTCATTCTTTAATAGAGCTCTGTTCCCTAGATGGAGAGTGGAGTTGGGTTGGGGCAGCAGAGGAAAGAAATTCAGAAAGGGAGTTTTGGAGTAATGACTGCAGCAGGGAGATGAGGGAAACCATCCCATTCTCTCTGACAACTCCTCTGCCCCTGAACACACACACACACACACACACACACACACACACACACACACACACACCCGGAACTGTCCCATTCTCTCTGACAACTACCTCTGCCCCTGAACACAAACAGATACCCTCCGAACTATAGTCACTCTCAGAAGAGTAAAGCCCTGGTTCACTTTGCTGCCTCACTTAGAGTTATCAGGGTTTCCTTTCATCTTTTGCAAAATTTGTTTTTGGACATTGGGGTCTTTTATTTTCTTTCAACTTAACTGTATAGCAGTGATTTCAGAGACATAGATCCTAGCCTAAGGTTTCTTCTTCTCATCAGAGGGCTTTTATTATTTTGTTCAGCTATCCTTCAACATTTGATTTAGATCTAAAGATATTAATCTTTCTATAAATGATAGCCTTAAAGTCTTTGGGTCATGTGTTTCAGTGTCTCTTGAACCAGCATAGTTTTATTTCTTGAAGCAGTTATCCCTGTTATCTTTTTAGATCATTAGTATAGATAGACCCTGCCTTCTCTCACTTTGGCCATTAATAATACAACTTTTTGTATGATATTGTATAGTTTTCTTCTGAATTTATTATATATCTTATTTGATCCTCACCATATCCCCATGGAGAGGATAGGACAGCTTTTGTCCCCTTTTTGCAAGTGAATGGGCTGAAGCTCAAGGAGGTTTGTGGTTTGCCTGGGGACTGACTGATTTGATAGGTGTTAGGGCTTTGTGGAAGCCTGAGGCCAGCATTCTTGGCACAATTAGAGAACACTCTTCAGTTTCGTTTTTGGGTTGCTACTGACTAGAGAATAAGGATAGGAACTTTCTCAGTCTGCAGAATCTCTCTCAGTCTTAGCACATATTCATTTTTATTTTACTTCTACTTGTTTTTATTTTATTTGCAGTTATTTAAATCTCTCTTTCTGGAAATGGGAAGCTTCTTAGTCTGGGAAAACTAAGGAGACCGGTATAGATCAGATAACAATGGCCCATCTTTGTGGCCTTTGGCGAGCTCCTCTGGACTTAACCAAGAACCTTTCCATTTGACTTGCATGCTGTATTTTTTCCTGATCATAAGAAAATTAATCCACCATTAGCCCGCCATCTATACAGTTATGATTGACTTGATTTGGACTAAAGCTAGTATAATTGTTAGAGGGTACTCTCTCTTATATGACATATTGAAGATAACTCCTAGGTTCCCCTGTATATTGTGATAAAATTTACATACTCAGCTTCTCACGGGCACTTTTAATTTCTTCTAAAAACCCTAAATTCATTTTTTTTTTATGGTAGGTGGGGAGAGGCAGGAGATGTTGAGAGAGAATCTTAAGCAGGCTCTGTGCCTAGCACAGAGCCCAATGTAGGCTCGATCTCACGACCCTGAAATCATGACCTGAGCCAAAATCAAGGGATGGATGCTCCACTGACTGAGACACCCAGGTGCCCCGTAAATTTATTATTCTTAAATACTCTTTTCCTCTTGGTGATTCAGTTGTATAATATCTGCCTTAAAATTTTTAAGGACTGGGGTGCCTCGGTGGCTCTTAAAATCTGGGTCTTAAAATCTATGGGTTCAAGAAGTTGTACTTACTTCTTTTCTCATTTCTACCAGCAAGACCTGGGACAAGTCTCATGAAATTTCCTTTCACCATTGAGGCTTTACATGAGCAGCTTTAGTATAGCCTAAGAGTGATATTTTGTGAAAAGCATTATCACCTAGGGAGGGGCAAAAAAATATTTTGAATCTTGTAACCGTACAGACGTAGATCTAGTTTGCCTGACATCAGAGCTGCCATATTTTTAAAACTTATAAACATACACAAAAATAGAATGGTATAATGAACACCCATGTACTCATCACCCAGCTTCAGTAGTTTTCAGTATGTGGCCCATCTTGTTCCTGATGTATTCTTCCTCTCCTCTCCCTCCCCAGATTATTTCAAAGCAAACTGAAGGCATATTTTATCTGGAAATACATGAATATGTATTCCTATGAGTCAGAGATTCCTTTTTTCTCCTCTTAATCACAGTACACAGTAATTCCTTCATAATAGCGTTAAATATCAAGATGATCTTCAGATTTCCTTATTGTATGTCTTTTATTTTTTTTTCAAGACACTGAATATGTTTTTATTGAGCCTTTTAGTTTACAACATGAGGTAAAAGGAAAGTCATTTCTCCTTAACCAATATTTTACACAGCTGTAGTAAAATATTTCGAACTTTAGGGAATTATAATGGATTACATATATTAAAAGTTGGGGATTAGGTAAACAATATCGGAGTTCTTGAATTTTCCAGTTGACTCTTCCCTTACAATAGTAACCAGCTCTAATTAGTTACATAAGTTTCTTCAAGGCCGTGTTTCATTGTTGCTGATGTCTTTATATCCGAAGCATTGCTATTTCAGTCAATATCCACTAACTCCACTTCAAAAATGAGTTTTGCATTTGGTGGAATTTTGGCATCAGGCTGTCCTTTCTTTCCATAAGCCCATTCTGGTTCAATCTCTAGTCGAGCCTTTTCTCCTTTACTCATAGTTAAGAGTGCTTCATCCCATCCTCTCATAACTTTGCCTATTCCAACCTTAAAACTTAAAGGCTTGGCATTTTTCTTCTTCTTTGAACTCATTTGAATATTAGTATCAAAAACAGTCCCATCCTGTAGTGTTCCTGTATACCAGCAGTGAACAACATCTCCCTTTTTGGGAAAGTTGGTTTTATCTCCTTTTTTAAGAACAGATTTTATATATTTTGGTGGACCCTCATCCAGAGTCTCTTCAGACTTGGTTTCTTTGGGTTTATCTTCATTAAGCTTCACATTTTTCACCTGCTCAGACACTTTACTTATACTTTCAGTACCCTTGAAACGTTTACTTTCAAAAAGATGGTTGTAGGCTGTAACCAAATGGTCCTTGTTAGCTGTCTTGGCCACATTTTTAATGTTTCCTAGTAACTCATGTTCTGCAAGAAACGAATCTGAACCGTGGTCCTGTAGAAACTTGATAATGTCCTTCTTGGGTAGCTAGCTGCTCGCTGCGCAGCTGCTTCACGGTCCAGGCCCGCTGTGGTACGGCCGCCGCCATCTTCCCCCGCTGTCTTTTATTTTTTTTATATTTGAATTCCTTAAATCTGGTTTTGCACAGGGTTCCACACATTGCATTTGGTGGATATAATTCTTAAACCTCTTTTACTCTATAATAGGTTCCCTCTTTTTTTTGTTGTTTTTTTTGTTTTTAGTTTTTTGTTGTTATTGTTCATACTGTCATTGATAAAAATGAAGTCATTTATCATGAAGTTCTCATATTCTGGAGTTTGCTGATTATCTCCCTCCTTGTTTAACATGTTCTTCTATCCACTGTATTTTCTGTAAACTGGTGATTAGCTCTTTTGTTTTAATTAGCCAGAGTACTTCAGAGGTGAGTGGTATGCTTCCTCTTGTATCACATCAGTAAACAATGTCTGGGTTGTCTCTTTTTAATATTGTTAGGATTGATCCTTGAGATTCAGGGAGACAGTCAGCCTGATGCATCCTTTTTAAAGTTCCCAGTGGTTTTTCTCTTAAGTTTTATCAACCCATTAGTAATCATTGCCTAGATCCATTACTTCAGTGCGGCTGCGGATGTACTATTCTAATTCTGTCAGTCTTTCTTAATTTATTAGCTGGAATTCTTTTTCAAAAAAGCACTCCACCAACTACTTAGGTTACCTGAGATAAATTTTATACACGAAGGGCAGGACTAATACTTGTTCCTTTCTTCTTTTTACTAGTTTTCAGAATAAGGAGTTGGTTCCCTAATATTTTCCAAAGAGGACAAATGAGCTCTCTCTTTTTAAAAAAATATGAGTTCATGCATTTCACATATTTTATGGTTCTCAATTATTGCAGTTGTTTTTCTTTTTAATGTTCAAATTGTTCCATCTTTGGCAACAGGTGAAACAAGATTGGCTATGAACTGATAATTGTTAATTCTTGGTGATGAGTAGGTATATGAGGGTTCATTATATTATTTTCTTTTAAGTGTATTTTACATTTTTAATAGTAAAATCCACTTGCATTTTTATTGGGATCATGTTAAATTTATAGAATTACTTAGAGAAAAATGAATTTGCTTTTTTCATTCAATAGTATTCATTCTATGTTATTATGAATAAGGATTCTTTTTTTTTTTTTTGGTGGCTGCATACCACTCAGTAAGATGAGTGTACCATAATTTATTTAACCTTTCCTTTATTGATGGATACCTAGATTGTTTTCAGTTTTTCTCTATAACAGATAATGACTACTTTTAGTTTATACTCTGAAGTATAATTTGATGGATAAAACCTGCTTGTACTTACCATGTTAATAACTTTCCTCCAACAAAAAAACCACTTTCCCCCATGCTCAGGTCATGAGCCCAGGGTCCTGGGATCAAGCCCCGCATGGGGCTCCCTGCTCAGTGGGGAGCCTGTTTCTCCCTCTGCCTGCCGCTCCCCTGGCTTGTGCACTCTCTCTCTCTCTGTCAAATAAATAAATAAAATCTTTAAAAGTTAAAAAATTAAAGATTTGAAATTTAAAATCATTATTAATACCATAAACCGAATTAATTCATTTTCTTTCAAAAGCTCTTATAATGCTGAAAGTTGTTTACAAATAAAGTTCTAATATTTCTTAGGTATATTTTTTGAAATCAAAATACTGATTTTTGAGAAAAAATTACTAGAATGCTAATAAGTTATTAGCTACTCATGGGATTGTAAAACTTGTTGTAGATTATCATTTATTTGACATTTGCTGAGATGTAGAGAAAAATAAATTCTCCTAACATGAAAATTTCATAATAAAGAGAACTGCCAGTTTGTGCTGTGAGAAATTTTTTTTTTAATTTTTTAAAAGGTTTTTTATTTTTTTATTTGACAGAGACACAGTGAGACAGGGAACACAGCAGGGGGAGTAAGAGAGGGAGAAGCAGGCTTCCCGCGGAGAAGGGAGCCCGATGCGGGTCTCAATCCCAAGACCCTGGGATCACGACCTGAGTCAAAGGCAGATGCTTAACGACTGAGCCACCCAGGTGCCCCTAAAACTGCATTTTTAAAGAAGCGATGAAGTGGGAAAGGCTCCTGACTTTCTTGTACTTTTTCGATTCTTCAATTACTTGAGTGCTAGTTAGTATTTTAAGTGGCACTGAAATAATTTAAGAATTTATTACTTTTTCAAAAGTGAATCAGCTGTCTTCTGTTGAGGTGATGGCATTGGTGGTATTAATCCCTAACATACACTACAAAATTTGGGGAATAGAGAGATTAGGCTATTTAAATTCTCTTGTGATAGAGGAGCCAGTTTCCATTCTTTGGGCCATAGAACTGCAGCATCATAGCCCTGCTCTTCTCATCAAATTATTGGTTTGTTACCTAGGCAATGAAGAACTTTCCGGATGGAGCAGCACTGTGAAGTGAACAAAACAACAAGTTCAAATTCAAACAGGTTTAGATGTGAAAAACAACTTTAGTAGGTTAACATTGTTTAAACTTTCTGAGCCTCAGTTTCTTCATCTGCAACATCTTCTATTTTAGGGGGCTGTGAGGATTAAATGCAATCATGATGTAACACATCTGGCACAAGCTTTTATCTGTTGATATAAGTAATTGAAATAATTGAGTTTGTTTCATGTCATTTTTGTTTATAGTAACAATAATTAGCATTTATTGAGTACTTACTGTGTCCCAGGCAGTATGGTAAACACTTTATGTGGATCTTGTTTAATCTTCATAGAACATTGCGAGGTAGGTATCATTGCCCTCATTTTATAAGGAAACCATGACACAGAAAAATTAAGTAGTTTGTATGGGAGCATGTTAGGCAGTAATGAGGAATTATTGCTCTGGGTACATACATTTTCTATATTTTCAAATAAGACAATATTTTGTTATGGCATGAAAGACAAAGGGAAACACGATGACTCAAAAACATAATATGTTCAAAAACTTCTGGTTATTCTTAAATTTGTCTGAAACATTCATGTATTACCTTAATGGAATCTCTTCTCTTGAATGAGAGGATCACGATTTGGGTAAAATCCTTGCTCTTTCTGTCAAAACATTTTTTTAAAGATTTATTTATTTGAGAGGAGAGAGAGATCATGAGCATGAGCAGGGGGAGGGGCAGAGGGAGAGAGAGAGTCCCAAGCAGACTCCCGGCTGAGTGTAGGCCCAGCACAGGGCTCCATCCCACAACCCCAAGACCACAACCCGAGTGGAAACCAAGAGTCGGATGCTCAACCAACTGAGCTACCCAGGTTCCCCTGTCAAAACATTTTTAATGATAAATGAATAACTTCCCAGTCTTCTCTTATAACATAGTACCATATTTGGAAGTGTTTATTTGGTTTCCACAGGGTCGGAATCTGGCAGATCTACGCCGTAGCCAGTCCCGGGGTACATTCACCATTAGCACTACTCTTCGGTTGGGTAGACAGATTCTGGAGTCTATTGAGAGCATCCATTCTGTGGGATTCTTGCACCGAGACATCAAACCGGTAAGGGGCCTTTTCAAGTCCGAGCACAGAATGAGTTTGCTTTGTACTCTTAATCTGATGATGGGATCCAATAAATTATGAATGTAGCTTTCTGTATTTGCTTTCCATTATTAAATACAAGGTAATATTTTAATTTCAGTAACTAGAAGCAAAATGTAACTTGTCTCTCAATTTTTTAAAAGAATTCTAATTACATAAAAAAAAATTTCTAACTACAAACCACAATTTAACATTCAAGAGCTTTTCTCATACAATGAAAATGTTGCTCACAGCCAAATTAAAAATGATTAATGCTTGACTATTATTATTATGTGTGTTAACATTTCTAGTTACTTAGCCTTACACCAAAATTGGAAGTTATTCTTTAGATTTCTTTTTCCTGATACTGTGTAAAAACATATACATATGTTGCTTTTAGATGTATGCACTGTGTTCTCTGAACTATTTCTCAAGTGACAAATTGTACTTATAAGGAACCATCAATTATGAAAGACCTTATTTTTTCTTCTGAGTGCTACAGTGGCAATATATAGTATTTTTTTCTATTCCGTTTCTTCTTAGAAATTGTCATTTCCATAACTGAAATATGCTTTTATTTTTCCTTCTTGGTTTTTTTATTGCTCACAAGGGGAAGTGATCCATTTCTGATATACTGTATTTACTATAAATATATCATGTGTTGGTTAGTGCAGTTGAAAATTACACCCATCTGTAGCTACATGATTTTTAAAATTAAATAGTTTACATGAAAATGCCAACTAAAATTAACATTGTAGAGTCAGACTTAATGTAATGTAGATTTCTCTTGCACTTAATTCTATGCCAAACTAAATGTCACTACTTTAAAAACATGGTGACTGAAGACTTTCCATTTTCATCTGAAAGCTCCCTAAGTAGAACAGTATTTTAAAATAAAAGCTAACAATTCTGTTGCAGTTTTGCTTTTCCCTTTATAAATTCTCTTTTTACATACACCATCTTTGCAAGTCTGTGCTCATTTAACATTACATTTATTTTTTTAAGGGAAGAATGCAAAGTATATTTTCCTTAAGTCTGTTTTGAAATGTTTCCTTAAATTGAATTTTAATTTTTATGCTTAGTGAAATTCAGCTTTATGATGCTCATAGGAAATTCATTTAAATTTCTAGCTATGTATTTAATTTTGCTCACTCCTAGTTCCTCCCATTTTAAAAAGGAAGAATTGGGCTGTCTTTAAAGCAGTCACTTAGACTAAAATTTCAAGGAACGTAGAGTTACACTTAAGTCAGTATTATTTGTAACTTTGTTCCATCACTTAAATTCTTTGTTCCTCAAAGTTACCTGCTCCTGGGCATTAATAGAACGCATAACGAGATTATGTATTAACATCCAGTAAACATCATGGATTAAAGTAGTGTATTTGAGACATATGTATTATATAGAGTTTAAATAGAAATAAAATATAGGAAGGATAGATGTAAGGACTTAGTATTGTAAGAATATGTATATTTTCCTTCTTTGCTTTTCTAGTCGAACTTCGCCATGGGTCGCTTTCCTAGTACATGTAGGAAATGTTACATGCTTGATTTTGGCTTGGCTCGACAATTTACCAATTCCTGTGGTGACGTCAGACCAGTAAGATTTTTCATATTATTATTAAAATATTCAAGAATTAACCTGTTATTTATAGTATCACTTTTAAAAAAAGATATATGAATTATGTATAGAATGGATCTTATCCAAGAAGTAGCATATAGATTTTATGATGAAATTATAGGATAGAGTTAATTAATTTTATCGAAAGTTGTAGCTTTAATAAAAAAGTACATTAGGGGTGCCTGAGTGGCTCAGTCAGTTAAGCATCTGCCTTCGGTTCAGGTCATGATCCCAGGATCCTGGGATTAAGCCCCGCATCAGGCTCCCTGCTCAGCGGGGAACCTGCTTCTCCCTCTCCCTCTGCTGCTTCCCCTACTTGTGCTCTCTCGCTCTCTCTCTGTCAAATAAATAAATACAATGTTTTTAAAAAAAAGTACATTAGACACAGACTTAGAGTGGATTTGTAGTAAGAACACACATTGGCCCTTTAGGATCAAGGGTCTTTTTTGCAGTCTGAGGCTCTTTCTATATCCTGCAGTTCTGTTTTCATTGTTGTACATTTCCTATCCAGAAGGCCGTTTCTGTTGCCTCTCTCCACCCCCAAATGGATGGGTCATACTTCCCTGTTTCTTTGATTCCTTTTAATTTTTTTGTTGGAAACTGGACATTTTAGATAATATAGTTTTAGATACGGGTCCTCCTTTCCAGGGCTTGTTATTGTTATTTGCTTGTTTATGTGTTTAGGGATTGAACTGGATTAGTTTCAGTGAGGGCTTTTCCCCTGCCACCCTCCCAACCCCTCCCCTTCCCCAACACAGAGTATTAGGTCTCTGTTGTTGCTCCTGGGGCAGTCAGCCTGCGGTCGCCCTGGAATGACACTTGTACTGGTAGGGCTCTCTTCTGCACTTGCCCTGGCCATACCCAGTTTTTAAGCTCCAGTAATTGCTGGCTGACTGCCCTGTTGTTTGCAGTAGTACCCTGGGGCATAAATTCCTGGACAAACTAATATAATCAAATCTCTGAGGTCCCAGTTTGTGTTTTTCTGACCTTGGGAGGCCTCCCTCCTTCCAATTGTCTTACTCCTCCTGTTCTCTCTTACCTGGCCAGCCTGTAGTCTAGGCTTTATCTTCATTAGCTCCACAGATCTCCCAATTCCCAATACCACAACCTCCCTATTTTTGAGAAATGCTTTAAGTTTAAACTTTACTGTTGCAAACAAGATAAGTTCCTTTGGGAAGAGATTAGGAGGTGTCTTTTTAAATGGCCTTTCTCCTGCCCCCAGGCAAAATCTCTGAGCCAGGGCTCTAAAGTTGGGCTGAGGACTATGGTAAGCTTCTGAGTGACATCCTTCCTTTTTAGGAGCTGAGATGGGGCAGAAGGTGGAGATCTTTCAGCTTGTCTCTCCTGGCATGGAAATACTGCCTCCTGAGCTGGGGTGGTGGTGGTGGTGGGGTGTGGGGAGGGCTTTTGGGCCCTCAGTATTGTCAACATATACCCAAGGTAGACCCTCCATTTCATGAGTGGCGCTGGGTGCAAGAAAGAAACTTCTCTATCCACACTAACCCAGGACTTAGCCTCCCCCGCAACAGAGAGCTGGAAGAACCTCAGAAATGCTGAAGTCCTGCTTCTATGGGAAGAAAGCCCTCTGGCTGGGAACTGGGGAATGAGGGAGTCCTGTGTCCTTGGTGGCAACAGTCTGGAGTGGAGCCACCTTCTCTGCTCTGGAAGAGAGGAGGGAGAGAACGGTTTGGGTTCAAGTACCATAGAATTTTCACTTTTCTTGAATAGATGTTTCTCCATTTGTTATTTGCCCTAAGGACCGTTTCCAAGAACTTTAGTTTTTTTTTTTAATTTTTTATTGTTATGTTAATCACCATATATTACATAATTTGTTTTGGTGTACTGTTCCATGATTCATTGTTTGTTCATAACACCCAGTGCTCCATGCAGTCCAAGAGCTTTAGTTTTTTAAAATAATTTTCACCAGTTTTACTGGGGATCAGGTCATTGGAGCTCCTTATATTGTCATACCTGTAGTTCAGTTCTTCTGATGTCTCCTTTTTACCTTTAGTTTTGTTTTAACTTGGTACTGATTGTGATTTTCCTTTTCTAGCAAATTAGTTGCACAGAAGTTGAAATACTGATTTTTGAATGAGCTAAGTATGTAATAATAGACTTGTATACATAAATGTAAATTATATTTAAAATACAGGCACATGAGAATTTAGGTGCCTAAAAATTATGAGAGAATCTTTCTGATTCTGGTGAAGATCTTGCATTAATAGATAGCAAAGCAGGTAAAGAATTTAGGTTCTGTGTAGCTTGCTAGATTGAATGTATTTCTGGAATCCCATTTCTTTTCCAGATATCTTTTATTTTTAAGTTTTTAGACTATTACCAGGTTATTGTTTATTCATACACGTAACATATTTAATGAGCACATAATATGTGTGAGGCATGGACCTAGGTGCTGGGACTGTAGTGGTGAACAAGCTGACCAAAATGAGGCTTTTATGGAGGTTATATTTTATTGGTGAAGACAGATAAAAAACAAATACATAATTTTAGGTAGTGGTATATGCTTTGAATAAACACAAAGCAGTGTATTTTTTTTAAAGATTTTATTTATTTATTTGACAGAGAGAGACACAGCGAGAGAGGGAACACAAGCAGGGGGAGTGGGAGAGGGAGAAGCAGGCTTCCCGCGGGGAAGCCGATGCAGGGCTCCATCCCAGGACCCTGGGATCATGACCTGAGCCGAAGGCAGACGCTTAACAACTGAGCCACCCAGGCGCCGCGATAAAGCAGTGTATTGACATAGAGAGTGATGGGCAGTGAGAATAGGAGACTACTTTAGTACCAGAAAAAAAAAAAAGGAGAATATTTTAGAAGTATTAGTTTAAAAAGACTTCTCTGAGGAGGTATCGAGTTGAAAGTTGAATGAAGTATGAGAATAAGCCATGTGAATATCTGGAAAGAGAGTTTTCCAGGCAAAGGGAATAACAAGTTTAAAGGCCCTGAGGCATAGTAAATTTGGTCTGTTCAAGAAAAAGCAGGGAGGCTACTGTGGCTTTGCACAACATAGCATAACATGATGAGGAGTTAAGTGGAGAGAGGTGAGCTGTGAGAGGTTGGTTGGCCCTAGATTGTGTATGATTTTGCAAAGATGTTTTATTCTAAATATGATAGGAAGCCTTTGGAAAAATTTGAGCAGGGTTCTTGCATAATCTGGTACCTGATCTGTCAATAAGGTGATTACATAATGGAATTATATACAGAAGTAGATTATATTTAAAACATAGCCATAGGAGAATTTCAGTGCCTGGAAATTGTAGGGAGACTATCTTCAGTTTTATCAGTATTCTTGTGTAAATTAGTAGCCATGCAGAAAAGAACTTAGGTTCTGTGTAGTTTGTTATATTTGAATATATTTCTGGAATCCCGTTTCTATTCTAAATAAGTTTTTCAATTTTTAGAACATGTGTTTTTTAAAAAAAAAAAAAGTCACTCTGGCTGTGAAGAGGAGGCTGTTGAGAGCAAGAGTGGAATCAGAAAGTTACAAGTGAGAAGGCTAATGCCATTGGTCCAGTGATTATTGCATGCGACTGGGACCTAGGGCATTAAGGGTGCGCCAATGAAGGTGGTGAGAAATGGTCATATTTAGCATATATTTTAAAGATAGACTTAACAAGCCTTCCTTTTGGATTTGTTAATATCGGGATGTCAAGGAAAAAGAAAAGTCAAGATTGACTGCTAAATTTTTGTCCTGAATGAATGGTCATGCCATTAACCATGATGGGGAAGAAGGCTGAAGAGTGGATTTGATAAGGGAAAAACGAGGTCCTATTTTCTAGAAGTTAAGTTTGAGATGCTTCTTAGATTCCGGATGGAAATAACAAGAAGGTGATTTGATATGGTAATATAGCTCAAAAGAGAAATCAGGACTGGAAATATAAATTTAAGAATCACTTGATTGGGGGTGGGGGTGTAGCCGGGGCACAGGGGTGCAAGAGTACCTGGCTTTGGGGGTCCCAAGTAGATGAGGTTCAACTACTTGCCACTGAGAAAATCCAAAGGCAGAGAGACAAGTAGTGGTCAAACAAGAAAAGAATGTATTCAATGGATGCTCAACGTACTGAGCCACCCAGGGTGCCTTCAGAGCTATTTTATTTTATTTTTTTTTTAAGATTTTATTTATTTTAGAGAGTGAGTGTGGGGGGGGAGGGGCAGAGGGTAGAGGGATAAGCAGACTCCATGCTGAGCACAGAGCTTAACATGGGGCTCCATCCCACAACCTTGAGATCATGACCTGAGCTGAAATCAAGAGTTGGACGATTAACCAACTTAGAGCTGTTTTATTTTAAAGAAGATTGGTAAAACAGGGAAGTAGTTGAAAGGGAAGTAAAATCCTTCATTCCTGAGTTTATTCATTTCCTTCTTATTTATTTTTTTAAATGGCAGTTATTATAGCATGCTTGTGTACTGATGGTAATGCTCCAGGAGACATGAAAAAAAATGATAATGTAGGACAGAGCAGGAACAATTCTAGGAGACACATTCTTGCATGACCAAGGGAAGGAACCTGAGCACAAATGATGAGGTTAGCCCATTCTCTAAGAGCAAGAACACTTCTTCCATTGTAACTGAGAAAAGGCTGAATAAGTAGACACAGATACAGGTAAGCATTTAGATTTGGTAGTGGGAAGTTGAAGTTCTCTCATGGCTTTTATCTTCTTCATGAAGGTAAGGCCTTTTGCTGAGAGTGCAGAAAGGTGCTGGAAGTTGACGAAAGAGGACAAGTGACATCGTTACCATGGGGAGGGAGAAGAGAACTAGCCTCAGCAAAATAGACTGTAGACCTGTGCTGAAAGTTCATTTGAGTATTATGGTAATTTAAGGTGAGATTGTCAGTACAGTTTGTTTTTCTCTAGACACCTTTAACTGCTTGTTCAGAAATGCAGTTTAGTCTAAGAGTTAGGTTTAACCTGAGTAAGGATCAGGTTAGCACTATGGAAGAGTGAGGGAAGAGAGTTGAGAGA